AAACACCCAGAATTAAATCAGTGCACCATGCCAGGAATCCCAGTACAGTAGAATATTAAATTCAGATCTGTCCCCTCGTCCCAATACTCCCATCCTTGCCTTATCAGGAACAATCTCATAGTTCAAGGATTAGGAAAGTTCAGTTAACAGGGAAGCTGGCCATCAGAAAGCAGTGTAAGAGAAGTGTTCTTGCAAGGGTTAGGCAGAATATTGCTGCCCACCTCTTCCTAGTTCATTATAAGGGCTCCATGCTTTCTTCACATTGGGACATGCTGCCACCTTTGTTCATGAGGGTTATTTGGTGGACCTGGCACATGTGGATGAGAACAGTCTGGTTCTTCCAATGGTACAGTTTCCTGGTGTGAGATATTGCTCCTGGAGATGGTCTCAGGAAGACTACCAGTGTCCCACACAGCACCTGAACCTCACAACCAAGAGGACCAGTGAAGATCCTCCTCCTCCTCCTCCTCCTCCTCCTCCTCTGAGATCTCTTCTAGTTTCAGGATTGTCCTGCCAGGAAGGTCATGAAAAACTTGATATGACATCCCCTCAACATTTCTTGGGTGAATGTTTTATGGGAGAATTATTAAAAGGAGATCTTCAGCTGATGACACAGGAGCTCTTTCTTCCTAGCTTCTCTCTCTCTGCCTCCTCTCAAGCCAAGAGGAAGTATCAAAAGCAGGAAGAGGAGCTGCAGTAGTGGTGATCAGATAGATAATTTCTGCACATTTCAGTCTCATACGCAGCTCCAGCAAAGCTTGCAGTGGAACAGACATGGCTTGACACTGACACTTCCTTTGAGCCTTCAGCATGGCAGAGTTCAGGGCCATCTGCCTTGTTAGAGACCATGTCTGAGTCCACACTCTTGCACTATTTCTTGGGTGACCAGTTCCCCGTGCAAATCCAGCAAGACTTCCCAAAATCCTCAGAGAAATTACAGCATGTTCTAAGAGATTATCTTACTCTCTTGAAAGACTCTCTTGATGCTGTCCTGCCTAGGGCTCCCTTAAGCCTACACTACTGAAATTGCAGTTGCTAGGTCTCCAACATCCCACAGGCTGAGGCTCAAGATGTCATTAGGTGAAGTTTAGTAATGCCATAGGAAAGGGTCTGGTGGTGTCACAGGCTGCCATATTCGTGGAAGTATCACATACATGAGTTGGACCTGATCCAGGAATCAAGCCAGTGGTAAGCAGATGAAGCTAGAGATGTGTGATCTAGAACTTCCCTGTCTTGTAGGGATCTGTGGATGACTCAGTCAAGGACACAGAAAAGGAAACATTCCACATACCTTGCACTTCTGGGCTGTGGAACCTCAGGTATAAAGGCTCAGCCCACTTGGTGCCCCAGCCACTCTCTGACATCCTCCAATAGCCACATACCCTTTCCTGTGACTGCCAAGCATTCAGTAGTTTTCTACTTTGGCAGCCTTTCCCTGTTCAGAAAGGCTGACATGTTTCTCCTAAGACTTGCTTACTGGTACTATGCACATTAAGCCATAATATGCTGGCAATTGTTGCATTTCTTTGTGCTTTTGTCCCTTTCCCTTTGCCTTTGGTCATGTTCACCCCTAGAATGTGCCCCTACCCTGCCTAAGCTTGTCTCCAAAAGTGAACTTGTGCCCCTACCTTGAAAGAGGTATCCTCCTCTGGCATGGTTAAACTATGAGATGCCGCAATAGCTTTAAGAGAGGATTCGAAAAATTTATGGAGGATGAGTCTATCAATGACTACTAGTCATGATGGTTGTATATCCCCTTCTCTATTGGAGCTGACATATCTCTGTTCCCCAGTTGCTGGGGAGCACAAGTGGGAGGGTGCAGTTGTGCAAATGTCCTGCTTGTGGGCTTCTCACTGGAATCTGGTTGGAAACGGAGTGCTGGACCAGGTAGGCCTTTTGTCTGATCCAGCCCATTCCAGACATGTAGGCTTTCCACTGCCTTGTCTCCTTGAGCCCAGAGACTTTTTTAAAAACAAGCATGCTTGCAGCTGTTTGCACCTTATCCTTACATGATCCATGGGCAAATTTGGTCACTTTCTTGAATAATGCCTTTAATCAGTCATCACCCAACTTCCAATTTCACATTTCAGTGCAGAAATGGATTCTGTAAGGGTTCCTAGAATGAGGAGAGAAGTAAAACCCACCCACTCACCCATGGTAAGGTGAAGCACAGCTCTGAACTTTAATAAATTTAGACTGTGAGGTGTTGCCAAATATGGGTGGATGTGCTCTCTCTCTCTCTCTCTCTCTCTCTCTCTCTCTCTCTCTCTCTCTCTCTCTCTCTCTCTGTGTGTGTGTGTGTGTGTGTGTGTGTGTGAGAGAGAGAGAGAGAGAGAGAGAGAGGAGAGCCTCTTTTGATCTTTCTCTCTTTCACACTCATGCATGCATGCACGCACACAGATCAAGAATGCATGACGTGTTGGGATTTTAATTTCCTTTGATGCAAGGAATTTAAGCTAAAATAGTAATGATGATGGCCTGATGATCCCATTTGCTCCAAAGGCCATTGGAAGATTTTATCAGTGATCTCTCCACCACTGAATGTATTGGTATTACTGTTGGGAAAACAAAATATTAGTAGTCTTCACAAAATGGAAAACCCAGCCCTGGGGATTTCCTTGCTAGTTAGGTGGAATTAGGCTGTCGTACTAATCCTAATATGTTTATGTGGTGCTTTTGATGTGTCCAAAATACTTAATGTACATTTAGTCACTAATTCGCCTGACAAATCTGTACAGTATGCCATATGAGGACTGTGGCTTGTCTAAGTTCATTGGGTGCATTTGCACCTGGGGTGAGATCTGAAGCATTGGATTGCACATGTGCCTCTGTTGAGGATCTGCTGGTAGAACTCCGCATGCTTTGGCAAATGGCTGACTGTTAAACTGCCTGAACTGTCCCCACTACAAAATATTGGCTTTCATTTAAATGAAGTTTATAGACCTTTGTTCCCATTGACAACAATGGGGCATGTTAAACATGACTTGCGGTAAGACTCATTGATGTCAACAGGAGCATGGTTCAGCTAACTTAGCCTAGATTCCAACCCATTTGGAACAAATGGGAAAACGTTGCCCATGGTGTTCCATTGGTGGTGACTGTTGCACAAGTAAGTCATCACCTGACATGGCAATCATGGAAAAGTGAGCACACACATCGTGGGGAAGGCCTGAGCTCAGTTGCTGAACATGAACTTTCCATGCAGAACATCCTGGCTTTGGTACTTGGCACCTCAAGGTAGGGCTGGCAAAGGCTGCTGGCTGGGACTCTAGAGCATCATGAGCAGTCAAAAAGGACTATTTGGAACTCCGTGGACCAAAGGTCTGATTCTGTATCAGCCACATTGATATGTATACGCAGCAGTGCAACAAATGTGGAAAGAACCCAATCCTGTGCTGTAGCACCAGTGGTGCTACAATGGTAAAATTTGAAGCTGAGGCACTCATCATCACAGTTCCTATAGCCATGCCTCTAGGAAAGTCTAAAAATGCAGGCAGCTGTAAAATAATCTTTTTTTTCTTGCATGATGCAAGCAACTGCAGATTTACTGGGAAGTTGGTGGCCTGCTTAACAAAAGGAAAACAAACCAGGACCAAAATTACCAGTGCAGAAGCCCTGCCTGCACCCATCCTGGTGCTAACTAGGAGGAAAAACGGTTGGGTACAAATGGAATACATGCACACTCTTTCCTTATTGATAGGAAGGGGAAAGAACATGCCCTTCTGAGTGCAAAGGAGTGGCATCTGTCTAGTCTAGCCTAGTGTTTGTCTAGACTCTAGACAATGTCTAGACTTGACAATGACTAAGGAGGTTGATATTTGCAAGGCCTTGAAAAGTGTACTGGGCAAACTACCAGTGGGAAGAAAAAAGATATGTGCAGATCAGAGATGAGAAAGAAGTTGCCAATAGTGAAATGCAGTGCTTTTTTTGTCATACAACACACCGGAACAGAGTTCCGGCACCTTTTTTCTTACAAAAAAAGCACTGGTGAAATGTGCTTAGGTTGAAGAATACCCAGGGTCACCAGAGGTGTAGTGGAATTCCTGGCTAAGTCAGGAGTTCCTCGAGAAGTTTAACAACAGGAGACAAGCTTACTTAGAAGGCAACCTGCTCATCCACCACTAGTCTTCCTCTTCAGTGTGCAGCCACACTGGGTGAGCATGAAGTCTTAGTTCATAAGTGAGGACAATCAGTCCCAAGAAGGTGGGCCAGTGCCCTGATGAACTGAGTATGTTCCCCAGGATATACCCTGGAATCTTTTGCAACATGTGAAGATTGCTGACAAATAGTTGCCATCTAAGACAAAAGTTAAGTAACCTGTTGCCCTCCAGGTTTCATACTTTAACTTCCATATTCCCTGCCCACAAGAGCAGTTATGGGAATTATATTCCAAAATATTTGAAAGGCACCAAACTGCCCATCCTTGATTTAACTGCTTCTAGGTAAGGCCTTTATTTCACAATCATTCTAATTTGTGGAATTGCTACAGGGCATCCAGATGAAGTCATCTTCAAGGTGTAACACTCTTCTAAAAAAATTACATTACGATAGAACATCCATATGCTATCCTTTAAGTGTTAGCACTAGAACCTCTGTTTGGAAACACCCTATATTAGTGGCTGTCAGACTGCTGGTACAGTATTTGTCATATACAGGCTCTCAGGAGGTTGTTGGACCCAGCAAGTCAATGTGTTAATATATGAATGAAAGAATGGCAATACATTTGGACAAATATATGAATGTGGAAGTGTAATCCTATACATGACTAGGCTTCTCTTCCTCTCAATACAATATCTCCCTTTACCTGTCACTACATTCTTCCCGCTTGCCCCTTATCTTCCTTCCACGGCACTACGAAGGGAAAGGCAGTAAGCCCCTCCAAGGAATATGCACTTGCACCCCACTTCTCAGCCAGCAGAGACCACATAGCTGGCTCATCTACCTGTCCATACTAGGGACAGCTGCAGGTATGTGCAAAATGGATAAAATCCTAAACAGAGTGCAGATTTTGCCTTCAAAGTTTTATTTTAAAAATTCCCTTCACCTTGCTTTTTAGGCCCTAAGCACAAATGAAACACAACACCATATTGTTTTGATCTTAGTTTTTTAAACAACTTTAAATACAGTACTGAGTATAAATTAACTTTACATAGAATGCATGGGCCCAACACAAAGATGAGAGAAAGGCTTAACTCTCCTTACAAATGAAAAAAAAAAAATGCAGCAAAACAAATGGTCTTTTAAGACAAAGAGGAATAGGACTGGATAGCAAACCATTGTTTTAGTGACAGAAAAGAAGATGTGGGAGACCCATGCCTCCAAAGTATTTCTCACAGATATTTCTTCTCCTGCTACTGGCCTACTCCATGGAACTATATTGGGAGACCACAACTTTTGATATAAGTGTTATTGTTTTGCCAATAAAGTTCGACCACACTGTTAAAAGCAAGCAATTGGCGAAGGGCCACGAGGCACAGTCTTCTTTGGACTTCCTCATGCAGAGGAAAACCTGGACCAACCCAGTTCAACAGACCAACCCTCTCTAACCCAGCACCCTCCCGTTCAGTTGGATCAGTTGTCAACTACTCTGGTGGACACCAGGCTGGGGAAGGCTGAAACATCTATTACAAGGAGCAAAATTCCAAGAGCACCAAACAAATGCAGCTCAAGTGGGAATGGGGACGATAATCTCCTATCTCTTTCAGACCAAGGGATCTGAGGGATGGAGACAATTGTCTTACATATTTTCTGTTTCCCTTCACTCTCTAGAATGGAGTACAAATATGATTTTACTCCATGCGATCAAATGGAACACAAACATTTCCACCTGGGGCAGCAAAATAGCTGCAGACATTTTTATAGCATTTTTTAAATTTGACCTGGACATTGCGGAATTTTAACCTAAAGTTGCATTTACCATGCTCTTTCTTTGTAAATGTGGCAAAAGGGCACATTCCTTTTCTTCTTTCCTCCCTACTACCTACCAAAATTTTGCACAGGTTCATCTCTTTGGATAGGATTGTGCAGTACAATCCACTTCTAACAAATGAAATGTGTGGCTGCTGGCCTCCATCCTGCATCTGCTCACGCAGAGATGCATCAGTTTATCCTGTATGGGTTTGATATCTGTTTTGCTCCTTCCCCAAGACAAATACAGTGAATAAAAGTTGCTGAAGAGGTAGATGGAAAGTAAAAGCTAAAAAGCGTCATTTACTTCATCCTTCTCTGCTTTTCCCACCAACCTTTCCAATATATAGAAGTGACTAACCCCTTTTCTATCTCAGGTAAAGTGAATGTCTTTCCTTTTCCTTTTTTTTAAATCATTCCTGAATGTAAGCTCACTGTTTAGCTTTATTCAGTCACACAAAAGATACTGCCAGTTTCATTCGTGGGAGATCTGGAAAGGCATGTGAACCTTGAAAAGTGGGGTTGGAGAGAAAAGGAGAATGGAGAAAATGCAGAAGATTTAAAAAGCACAAGTGGTTAATGAGGGCCAGTTCATTTTGTTGCCTTCTTTGCCTCCAACACATCTATTGGGTACTACCAACTGGATCCTTGCCTATGAACTTTGGTTGCGCAGCTGTCAAAATGCTGCGTAAGGTGCTTGGCATCTTCAGTATCACTTGGAATTGCAGAATAAATATACCGTATGTGATGCATCACAGGCATCACAGGCAGAATCTCATGGCTCCTAGGAAGCTTTGCACTTTGTCCTCATCAGAAAATTAACCTGAAGCTATTAACATGGGTTAGCATCTGTAACATCTGCCCCTTAATTGCTGTGCCAGAGGAAAGTTGCTAGTAAGGTGGCCATCAGTAAAGGTCATGCACAAGGGACACTTACAGTATGGGGTGGACTGATACTACAAGGAATATAACCAAGCCATTATACGAACAGTCCATTCAAGCCACTACTGCAGCCTTCAACCTGTTGCCCCCCAGCTGCTTTAAACTGCAACTCCTATCAGCTCTGACCACTGTGACCAATGGTCAGGAATAATGAGAACTGCAGTCCAAAACACCTGGAGGAAGCCAGGTTGGGAAAGGCAGCACTGCTGTTTCTCAAGGTGGGGGGGGCAACTTCTGGCCCTCCAGATGCTTTGACCTACTGCCCCCATCAGCCATAGCCAGTGCAGTAATGTATGATCCAGGTTCTAGACCAAAACACCTGTAGGGCTACAAGTTGCCTATGTGTGCTTTATCTTTCCATGGTCCCATGCCATGGTCTTTGTCTACAATGATATTTGAGACCCCATACAAAAGTTGCCTTGATTGCCCATTGTCAAAGAGTATGTTGTAATACAGTTCTAGCCCCTTCTACTAAAAAGCAAGGCCTTATTCTGGCAGCCATGAAAGCAGCAACCACAAGGGTAGCAGACCAGACAGGCTAGGAGCCCCACTTTATTGAGTGGTTGCAATCTTCACTGTACTGAATGCAAACCCATTAACAAAACCTCACAATGATCCATACAAAAAACCCCCAAACAACTGCAAATTCCAACTGAAACAGGAGACTGGAAACAGTGTAAGCCAAGCCCTCCTTATAATCATGTGCAAAGAAGGCCTCTTTGACCTAAGGGGGTCACTGGATGGGTGGCAGCAGTGGTTCCGCAGCTTCCCTCCTGTTTGTTGTTCCAAGCACCCCATCCATATGACAACAGGAAGTCCTGGGTACATATTCTTAGCTGTCACTGGTTCTGTCCTCCGAGGCATGGCATGTTTAGTGGTTTTAAAAATAAAATATACATACACACATGAAAAATATCTATTCAGACAAAACAAAAGAAGTCTTTAGTGCATTTACTGTCGTTGGTTGTCACTCAGACTGCCTTGGCTTGTGCTCATTGCCATTGTAAACAGCCTGAGCTCAGCTAACTCCTGGATGGGAGCAAGAAGGAAAGGAGGTAAAGACATTTCTCATCCTCTCATTTCCCCTGCTGCCTTTCACAAGGCGATTGGGACCACAAGTCTTTGCCACATTCCCACTGCACTTGCTGTGGCACAAAGCATATCGTCCGTCCAAATTCCTGCATCTTTTGCCATTTATTTCCCACCACAGTCTTCTTCCTTTGGGAGTATGCTGAAATGCAATTAAGAAATGAGAACTCAAATAGTAAACTTTGGTGGGAGAATGTCCAGCGGGCAAAGGATCAGGAAGCACCATTTGCCGTCCAAAATAGCATTGAGGCAGATGGACGGAGAGAAACTCTGAGAACCCCACGGGGGCAATACAGCAAACGTATTAAATAATAAACCTAGAAGGTAAGAAAAGAGAAAAGGTGAGTTGTGATTGTACCTTGACCTGTCAAATCAGTTTCATTCTAGTTGTTCTCTGTACAATGGCCAATATTCTACCTACAAAATGATTACAGCTGACAGAGACTCAGTTGCTATGGAGGTGCTTTCTGCAAAGCTCCTTATTTTTCAGTAGCTCATTCAGCTTCCGTGGAACTTGGTCTCTGTTTAAGGGGGAAATGGTGTAGTGTCAAGAAGAAGAGCAAATGTGTTGGTTGGAGAATTGGCCAAGAAAAGACGCATTGTGCATTATGCTCCGTAGCATAATGGTTCTAGCAAAATCATTCCTTTGTTCAGTCCATACCATTTTAAATCAAGAGATAAGCTGTCAGCCTGACTCATGCCTTCACCTTTGCATTGATTCAGAGACAGAGCTATGCACTTGGTACACCTTTTATTCCTGCCTTCCTTCCTAGACAGGGGATGGGCTGTTAAGTCTAATCAAAGATTTGAGTAGTTCAGTGCTCTTCAACAGACAAACCCCACTGGAGGAAATATTTATTCCTTCTCTCTTCCGCTCATTCTTTGGTGTCCTAACATGGCAATAAATTAAAGGTAAAGACCCATGGGATTACCATGTGTTTTAAATTACACTGAGCTACATGGACTTGAGGAGCTCGGCTTTCTTAAATAGCCAGGTAGCACTTTTAGATTGCATGAAAGGTAAACTGCAAAGCTACTGCAGCATCTTCAGTTGGCAAGAATGTTAAATACTGGCCTGACTGCCTTGTGACTACTGTATGGTCAGCTAGATTAAAACCTATAGAACAAAGGGCATTAAAGCAGCACCTGCTCCTGGTGTCCAGGTGACCCTGCTATGATGTGGGCATGGGCTCTTCATATGTTCAGGAGACTTTTGTACTATCAATTTGGTGTTAAATACCAGGGTTGTTTCTGCACTAGTCCTTTTACTGTAATGTCGATCCTTTGTTTTTGGGAATGGACATAAGGATGCAACAAGGTGAATCAGACCAAAGGCCAGCCTAGCCCAGCATGCTCCTTCCACTGGAGCAAGTGGTTGGCAATTATGGGAAGCCCACAAGCAGAATACAAAAACATCCTCCCACTTGGGTTCCCCAGCAACTCGCATTGAGAGAGACACAGTGTCTGATACTGGAAGTAATATATAGCAATCATGGTGGCAGGCTTACCCTCCATGAAATTTTGGACATCTGTGTCAGAAAATTGTTAAGATTCCCTTGTCACGTTTTTCAGTTCTGATTTGTGGCATTTGGTTTTACAGTAATGAAACTGTAGCACCAGTATGGCCAGGCAGTATACTTTTGAAGCTTTTACTGTGCCTTTCATCAAAAGCTTTCTCCTTGTAGCACCGATTGGTGCATCCTTTCTAGAATAGTTGGTGGTGGGGAAATGACTAACTGTTGCTTAATTAATCAGTTCCCCTCCCCTCCATAGTTGGCTTCCTTCTTTTCTTTTGCAACAGAAAATGACTAGGAGTGAGGTGAGGAAATTAAAGGAAGCCGGTAATTATCACTCACTCACTCATCTACCACTGGGAATAGAAACTGACTTAACTAAGCAGGGGGATTCAACATGAGTCCCCCAAACATTATGAAAAGGAAGCAACAGTAAGCATGGCACCTGCAAGAAAAAAAGCTTTTAATTAACACTGCAGGGGACACTTCTCTAGGACTTACTCATGAGTAATTATAGAAGGAACCTGACCACAGGAAAGGCATTGCTGGATAATACATTATTCATTGTTGTGCGCACGAGTCATCTTAATTCTGTTTCTAGCGGACTGCAGAAAAGCAATGGCTTAGCAATACTGAAGGGCTGTAACCCAGGGAAGTTCTATGCATTCACAACACAGTAGTTGTATTCAGTGCACTCACCTGACATCTGCACTCTTGCCTGCCAGCACTTCTATTATGCTGGGAAGATTTCTTTCAGCGCCTTCTTATCATTCACATGCTTGAACTTCCGATGCTTCCTCTTTCGTGGCAGCAACCGGTGCACTCGTGCCCTGGCTGGAAGAGAAGCCACAGTGCTCAGTCGAGGCCCACCTGCCAGAAGAGGAGGGAGCACCACATATTCCAGTATATAACACCTAACTGAGATTAACAAGCACTTTTCTTCTCTTCCCAGATATTCCTTCCACCACATTTCCCTCCATGCCCATCCAGCTCTCAAAAACATCAGTTCTACGATTGCTTACCTCTGTGCTCACGTGATTTTGCCCGACTGAGAGGCAGGGGTGATACTGTCTCGCATCGACACTCCAGATGGTCCTCCAAGGGCACAATGACTTTATGTACGACTGGTTTCATACGAACAATTTCTATCTTGTTTACCTATCAGAAGAGATTTAAAAAAACAGCATAAACCCTTGATGTATAAGCATGCAGAGATAACCTCAACTCAGTCAGTGCCACTGCTGTCATACAGAGAGAGATTTATATGAATCAATCAATAAATTGATTCATTTTAAGCCCACTGCAACCTTCCATGAAATGAGGACAGATACATAGCTAGCTACCCAATCCATTTTCATGGACCATCAGGGTCATTTTACAGAACTGCTCTTGCAATCACAAAGGTACATCTTGAAGTGCACCATGGCATAGGAATCATAAAGGGTTCCTACTTTGCTCCCAATGCTCCTGCATTGGTAATCCTATAATAAGCTTGAGTTGAGTGTTGGGTCTGTAGTGCCATAAAAAGATCAAGTGACCATCACCAGTGCCTGCCTGCCACTTCCAACTCCTCTATATTCCACCAGATCAAACTTCACAATATGTTGCAAATAAACAACAGGCACATTGCAAAAAGGTAACTACAGAGTATATGGTTCCAGATTGCTCCAACTAGCTGTCAAGAAGGTTAAATCTATGTTGTGATGATGGCTTGAAAACCTACTATAGTTCTCACCTAGGAGAGAGAGCAACCTTACAGAAGGCAATTTTTAAGAAAGTAGATTGGAATGAAGGACTATATCCTGCCCAAAAAATTAACAAGGGCATCAGTTTAATCTTTTCTGAAAGCCCTACTCTGCACATTTCAGGACACAAGGTGTTGACTAGACTAATCTTTCCAAGCAAACAATATAGGCATCTCTGTTTGCAGAGAAAGCATTTCCAGGACACATTTTCTGGCTAGCTGTTAACTTTTTGTTTGCTTATTTCCACAAAAGCAAATCATTCTACTTCTCTCCCTGCCCCCCCCCCCCACCTTCCTTCATTTGCACCTTCTGTTCAGCTGAGCTTACTGGAAAAAAGACTTTCCCTCACATGGTTGGTGTAATATCTTTCTTTCCCTGTATCTTCTTACCCATGGAAGACCCATAGAATTCTCCCTAACACAGAGGTCAAACATGGGATTTACATTATATTTTTGAACAAGTAGTCTGGGAGGAAACATAAAGATCGCTATTGTCTGGATATTTAGCAGAACTCGAATTAGCAGGTATCGATTTACAAGACACCCAGATGGAATAATGAAGAGGAACTATTGGTTAAGATGATTATTTGCCAGGAGAACAAACTGTCCTAGGATGGTAGGAATCAGTATATTCAGAACAGACAGCCACACAACTGGCCTGCTGGTTTTAAGGTTGATTTATAGCACAGTGCTGAGTATTTTACTGAATGCTTGTTTCTTCACCAAAGCATCCAGAATAAAGGCACTTATAACTTTAGTTGCTATCCCATATACAGTGACCTGAGAGTAAGTCCCACTGAACACAGTATAGGTGTTCAGTGCTGTGCAAGAACTCAGCTTCTCAATATTAAATAAACAAGTTTTGTGAAGCTCAACTGTTAAAGCAGAACACCTAGAAAAACACCAGTTCCTCTGCAAAGGTTTGTTGCTGGGTTAACTCTGGAGCTGATTGTTGTTACATGCGGTCGCTGTCTCCAACTTAAATGATGAAGAGTTTTCAGGTTCACATGTCACAAAACAACTACAGAATGGGGCATTCCTGGGCTGTTAACTAAACACGGACATGAAGAGCATTCCATGCTCATCACTCTGCTCATCCCTGCAATTCTTGGGTGGGGCAACCCAGTAATTGCCCTTGTGACAAACTAATCAGGTCTAGATCTACCTTATTTACATTTCCAAAAGTTGCAGGACTGCACACTGCATTCTACTGAATGCAAAAGTATTAATCCTGTAGCATCACCATTATTATTAGCTCAAACAGAAGGAATAAAGGCTTGTGGAGAGGGAGAAGTCCTACCTGGATATGTCGCACACGAACCCGCGTGGGGCGACATTGCCTGCTTCGGGTGTTGCAGCAGCCTGTGCACCGCTGCACTTCTACACATGGGGGCCACACGACAAAGTTGGCGTTGGTGGGATCCACCATGCTCCGGGAGATTTCAAAGACTTCGGTCCGTGTCTTGCATTCAGCAAGTACTGCTGCCTCTACAGGTTCTTCTCCACCTGGAAGGGTCCAACAAGAAAACTTTTGAAAGAAAATCAGCTTTGAAATACAAGGCTACATTCTGCCCCTTTCCCCTCAACAGCCTCTCCTATTTTATTGGTTTCATCCACATTAGAAAGCTGCAGAATCGAAGTACCATATAACCAAGGCATTGACACATTTATTTTGTGTGAAGGGATAGAGCAAACAATTTTTTTTCAGAAATCTGATTTCTCATCTTCATGGCTATGGATAAAAGTTTTGAAATGTTTGGGAAATTTCTGTTACATAAGCAGAAAGTATTAGGGTGCTTTAGTACTCAAGTGGTAGAGGTATTAAATTCAGCAATGTCCTAAGTCATGCTTCAGTGTCCTAACTCATTCTGGTTTTTGGCTAATTAGAGCTACTGCACTAAGCAAGCAAATAAAAAGCAATCCTATTTTTAAAAATTCACTCCAATAGCAGAAATTAATTTTCCACTTGCAGAAACTGATTTTTTTTTGTTTAGTACAAAATTCTAGTGAATTGGAGGCCAAATAAGCTAAATTCTCCATATGAGAGAAACAGTTACTGGAACAGCAGATTATATCTGTTAACCACAACAACCTTGTGAGGTAGGATAAGCAGAAAGGTAGTAATTGGCCTAATTTCACCTAGCGAGTTTCATGCATGAAAAGCAATTAGAACTCAGTTGTTCCTGGTTCAAGTTCAATACAACCTACTACTACTTCCCATTGGCTCTGAAGTAATGGCTCTGAAAATCACTCGACTACACAGACAGAACTTTCAGATTACCTGAACAGAAAGACACCATGTCACTCAGATTGTCAATCATGTTTACAAGACAAGTCTTGTGCACCAATTTCAGCAAATACAGGTTAGGTATGTCATGTCTACAACTCACCAAGACTTCGTCTCCCTCGGAAAAAAGGAACAGAATTTTGAGCGGGATCTGTTCTGGTGGAGTTCAGGTATGAACTGGAGCTAACTTCTTCTGCAAGAGAAAACAGCAATGTTCTCAAGAAACAGCAATTAAGTTTAGGGGCAATGCAGAGATATGGGTATTGGAATCTAACTGGAAACTACAAGGAAAAAATGGACAATCATCAAAGCTAGGGAATCTTCACCACTTGAACTACAGGGTCCTTTTCAATATATCCTGTAAATGCATCTCCTAATAGCTGGAAAGGCAAGAAACAAGTTATGTGGAAGTGGTTTTGATTTTACTAAGATAAGAAAAGTCAGGAATCCACATTCTGTTCCAGAAACCAAATTCTGCATATCTGAGATTGTAGCAACCAGCCTTAAGAAACTGATAATGCTACACATTTCAAATTAACATTGTATGTTTCAAAGCATGGAAATGAGCAAGCCCACTACCACTTCCATGTGATTTGGTCATGAACACCATGAAAAAGATGGCTTGATTAACTGAAAAATGTCTTCCTCTATATTCCAGGAAATGTTTTTGTACTTAGAAGTGTCCTCAATTAGCAAAGTTCTATTGTCGCAGCATATCTCACTCCCAAATTACTAACATTTTTTCAGAATTTTGGAATGCTAACACATATTGTTTAGATTGCTATCCCAAAGTTTGCCACTCTTCTCTGCTTATCTTAAAAGGCTTGCACAAGAGGCAAAAGTGTGGAGAGTAAAACTCAGTGGAGAGGATGCTTTCAATCCACCAGCTAAGACTCCCACTACAGTACCATTCAAAAGAACAACACACTCCTTCTACAACTTGTACATGGAATGTTTAAAAATCCTGAACTTAAAAGATTCAGTTACAAAAGCACTTAGCAGAGATGAGAAAGGGTTAATTAACATACTTTGCAAAGCAGCTTGTCTCAAAAACTTGCCATATACCACAGAATAGGAAAGACCCTTCAAGTTTCATCTACTTGCTGAGCAAAAACTAGAGGACTTTGGAACGAGGCTTTGAGTCATGCCTGACAGCTCTGAATCTTCTGCCTAAGGAAGGGCTACCAGAAGCTGCAGCCTTTCTAAACTAAGCATTTTTTTCTATGGTTATGTATCTACTGGATTTAGTCTTACGGTTTCAGGGTATTGTTGTATATGAGGTTTGCCTGTAGTGTTGTGGCTTTTTTAATTGCCCTGGGCCTATTTTGAATAAACATGCTTAAAATGACAGACAGAAAAATAGATGCATAAATCAGGAATGCTGAAGCAAAAGATTTGGGTGATGTAAGGAATTGTCTGTTTACCTATTTACCCCAGTTTTGTCTGCTGAGACTGGCAGAAATCCCCCAAGTTGTTAGACAGAGATCTAATCCTTTTAAAGTGGGGATCCTAGAGGTTGAACCTGGAGCATTTAGCATATTAAGCATGTGTACAGCACTGAGATACAGCCCTCCCTTGGCATTTAACTGGGTGACAGGATCAGGAGAACATGTGTTGAACTTTACATACCAAGTGTACTTGTGAGTGAAGGAAAGGCCTGACACCTTACAGCTCAGTTCCCTATAAACACATGTCTATGTTTTCCCATAGGAAATAATTAATAAAACCCAATGTCCCTGGAGCAAGCAGCTCCTCTAGAGTTTATTCAAAGATAAGCTTTCATGCAGCTGCAGGGTTTCCCCCATATGAACCACTTGACTTGTAAAGAGAAGTAGGACTGATGTTCTTGCTGTGGGATTAATTGGATTAATTGGGAGTGTGCAGAACAGGGTACTGGAGGCTTGTGGTTATCTGTGGAACAAGCTTCCACAACACACCGTTAGTCTATATCTTTAAGGCCAAGGAAAGCACAGGAGCTAATTTTCCATGTCATGTTACATATAGGCAGCACTGCCTACAGAGTTTGGAATCTGGTGTGCAGACAACAGACTCAGTATCATCAAACTCATTCCACATGAAGAGGCTTAGGAGGAATATGAAGCTGCAACCGATACTGTGGCTGTGTAATCTCCAGTGTAAGGACTGAAACTATCTTGAAAGACAGTTGTTCCCAAATTCATTGCCTTAAAATGACATATGCCTCCAGGGAATGGGCAAGATTAGTCACTGGAACAAAACAGGCTCTTCCCCAACCATCTTCCATCCCCCATTCTCTGGAATTTTATCAGGATAGGGTGGGGGCTGCTTTTGCACAAAGGTTAAATAGACAAGGAAAAAATAGCAGGCCTGTTGACTAGAAACAAATCTTCTATTGAAAAACAAGAGTTCTCCACTCAACTTCACCCTCCACCCCAAGCCTTTTCCCCAAGGGTGTCCTTCTGTTTGATAGGGCAGTACAGCTACTGCTGGTGAGGCAGCAGGGCCACCACTGGAAAAAACAGTGCTGCTAATTTTGGAAGCCCCATTATTGTGTGGCTTGTGTAGCCCAAGAGAGGGGGGGAGAGAAGGGGGGAGAGACTGAGTTGCTTTTCTCCAGGGGAAACAATAGCAGAACGCAGCTGGTGCCCTCCCTCTCTCTTTCCCTCCTCCCATCACAGGCATTTTGAAAGGGAGCGGGAATGCTTTTGAGAATGCGCCAGTGGTCCAACTGGCATAGGAAACAAAAGCAGGAAATTCTGTTCCCCCGTAGATAGTGTCTCGGCAAAGATTACAAAGCTACAAACAGACAAACACAAGAGAGAAGGCGGGGGGCGGGGGGGGGAGAGGACAGGCTGGAGCAGGGGTTGAAGTAGAATGGAATTCACAAAGAAAGCGTTTATAAATACATTCCAGGGCCAACCCGGTGGCCGTGACGCGTGCTCACATTCCTGCACGTGCCAAAATCTTGGTCCGAGTGCCACTGCGTGACCTCAGTCCTGTGGGCAGGTATCCCGAGCACCACCACACAGCCAAAGAAAGAGCCCTTATCCAGATATTCTGATAAAGCAGAAGATCCACTATTCTGTTGCTGTCTTACGTTGCTCGTTGCATTCTTTTCCAAACAAGAGGGATCAAGAGTTGAAAAACTATCAGGGCAGCAACTGCATCATGAATCATGGGTGTCTAATTTCTAATGCAGAGCTTGATGGAATTCCCAGATGCCAGAAACCCTCTGCTCCAATCTAAAAAACACACTTTTTTGGACCTACTTATACCTTTGGAGGGAGAAACATACTAAAACAGACCAATTTGCCATTAGCAAATAGAAATTAGCAATCCGGAATGCTCTCCTCTATTTCTCACTCCTGCCCCCTTGCAGCCACATCCCAATGTTCTGCATGTGAGGTCTGAGTTCAAGTAGCCCTACACACTGAGTGCTGCCTAATTCTGTAGGATTTAAGGTAATAATGTCTACAGTGCAATCAGTAAATCCCTCTGAATTCAGTGGTGTTTACTCTCTAAAAAGCATATTTAGATCTGCAGCCTCAGTATTTGTATACCCTTTTTTCTGAGTGTTTAGAAGTACTTCTTGTCCTCATTACAACCTTTTATGGCAGGGCTGTCGAAACTCTTTCAACCCAGGGGCCAAATTCCATTTTGGAGCTTTGAGCCGCTACTGCCAATGCCCAAGTCTTAGGGGAGGTATTTTAGCCTTTTAGAAGACAGAAACTGTTGGATGGGGGCATCTGCAAATCTGAGTCAGATCTGATCTGCAGGGCCTGAGTGTCAACGCTGCTGTTGAAGGGTACACTCACTCTGTCATTCACAGACTGGTGAACTGAGAGGATGTTTGTTTGCCTAAGGCCCACTGAGTTCATGGCTGAGGTGATTTTTCAGTCCTGGATTTCTTGGTTTACAGAAAATGCTTTAGCTACTGCACTACAGCAACTCTGAAGGAATCGGGGAGAAGACAGTGAGGGTACTGGGAAGAGCAGGGGTATCACACAGTAGTGGCAAGCAGGCAGAGGGTGGCTCTCAAGGAGAAAGGGCTGTGGCATTTATGTGGAGTGCCGTATCACAACAGCTGTATTTCTAGGTGGTCTACACCTTTGTTCAATAGGTTACACATTAATCTCTATTCAAAATTTTTTATCTGTAACAGCAGTACATTTTATTACACCCTATTAAACATTTCTTTCATCTAGCATTGCCCTTGGCAATTCCTAGCGAATACTGCTGTGATAACATTTCCCAGAAACCTAAAGGAGGCAGGTGGCGATTCCAGCAGTTAAGCGCCATGACTCCCCTGCTTTCCACCGCCTCTGTAGGATCTCTGCTGCTACATGCCACACTGTTCCTGTGTAGAAGGCAGGCTCCTCATCCATGCAAATATATCACGCTTAATAAAGCATCAACATTGCACAATTAGCACAAGGAGGCTGAAGGAGCGCTTGCATCCATATATGCCCAGCCGCCCCTTGAGATCAGCGGGGGAGGCCCTTCTCCGGGAATCCTCTGTGAAAGAAATTAGGAGGGTGGGTACTCGGAGGAGGGCTTTCTCTGCGGTGGCGCCTAAGTTATGGAATGTGCTCCCCAGAGAGGTCCGCCTGGCGCCGTCATTATTTGCTTTTCGGCGCCAGGCGAAGACCTTTTTATTTAAGCGGCATTTTAACTGTTAGTATTATTTGATCTTATCTGGCCAGGGCAGCTTATTTTATATTGTATTTTTTGGATTTTTAATGTTTATATTTATTGTAATTTATATTATAATTATTTTTATTTATTGTTGTAAGCCGCCCCGAGGCTTTGGCAAATGGGGCGGCATAAAAATGTTTTAATAAATAAATACATAAATAAATAAAAAAGCCCTGCCCCTCCCTGGCTTCCCCTTGCCCCTCCTGAATTCTCTGTCAGTTGGCTTAAGAAGTGAAGGCAAGGACTATCAAGTCCAGTTCCTCTTCCTCCCCAGTCTTATCTCCTTGCAGTGGACCGAAAACCAGGCCTGCCTCCTCTTTAGCATCCCACCTACATCTGCTATATAGGACTGCAACTGGCCCACTCTTGCAAGCAGTCTGTGTTCCTCAAAGATGTCCTATGGCTGGGGTTGTGTTCTTGCAGCTGTGGCAATGAGGATGCATCCCTACTCCTTAAATGGGCTGTGTGTTCCTGCTTCACTTGTAATGTTTGTGTTCTTACCACCCAAGATGATGGTGATGAGGAAGCAGCATCCAAATTGACCCTGCACAGCATATAAGGGTATGATCTCATTTGTGTTTATCAACTCATGCATCCAGTTGCCATCTTCAGTTCTCCTTGTCACCCCTGTCCCATTCTTTCCTTGGAGATCTTTGGGTATTTCTTATGAAGACTAAGTACACTTTGATACTAGATGACTGTATTGTGTGTAAATTACCCTACAGCCATTTTGTGAGTTACTGGAGTCATAGGGTGGACTGTGACTACCCAAATATGCTCTACGCTCCTACTTGTCTGCCCTGAATGTAGAGAAATATGGGGTTGTTTGCCCACAGGGGCATCTGTTGGTAGCATACAGTGCTGGCTCTAATTTTCAGCGGACTCCTGAGCAAGGTACCTCAGTGGGCCCCCTCCTTCAGTGAGTCCACATCTCACCACTGTTGTCACCAGCTGCTCTTGCTCCTCATCCTCTTTCAGACCATTTGTGGCTTGACAGGCAGAGAGCCATTGAGCAAGCTGCAGGGGCGTCTACTACTCCTCTTTCACACCACCACCATTATCTGGGCCAGAGCAGGAGGCATGTGAGCAACCTGGTTGCTATGGTGAAGAGGAGCTGCAACTCCAGGAGTCCCTGATGAAGTGTAGGCCCTTGGCAGGTGCATGCATGCCTACCCTCCTGCTGGCTCTGGTGGCACACACATGCTTTTGTTCTTGTCCCACTGTTACTTTTGCTTGGGATTTAAGGAAGAGGAGCATTCATTGTTGAAGAGATTTACCTACGGAGTCTATCCGCAGGACCTGCTGGAGATCTCTGATGGAACGCACTGAACTGTCACTCAGCATTTCATAGATCTCTTCCGGGATGGGGTCTCCCTGTCAGACAATAAAGAAAGAGGTTGCGTTAAGTAGGTCTCATATGCCAGTTCTGTATCAGCTCTTTTACAGACTGAAGGCAAGCCAACCGAATAGTGCATATGCACATTCCAAAGTGTGAGAGTATTAACTGCTGAGGGCCCACCCATGACAGATTCTTTATGGACTAAGGAAGGGGCTGTCCATCTGGGGTGCTTCCAGATGGACAGCTCTTAGCCTTGCCAATCAAAAGACATTATGCAGTTCTTCTACCTTTTTCTTATCAGTTGTTTGTACAAACAAAAAAGACAGAAGAGTGATGTGAACCTGGGGGGAGGGGGTTAGATGTAGATGTCTACCCCACCTTACCATTCCTTGGTAAAATTCCATGAATGAGGCAGGGCAATTGCATCATTAAAGCTTCATAGGAAAGGACCTGGGAGACCTTTATGGATTACACGCCCAAGAATTCTGAACATTCTGTTAACAGGCAGATCTTGAGACTTCTTCAGAAACATTATCTAGAAACCCCTTTTACAGTCCTATGCATGTTTTATGTTCATCTGTGTACAGTAGGACTTCCTTGCTTGAAAGCAGACTGAGTAGCCTTAAGGTATGCATCTCTGAAATCAAGTTAAATATATTTGAAGATTTTCTTCAGTGTTTTCTTCCCTTGGGCTGATTTTAGAATGTTGATCCATTATCTGGAGACATGAGAACCGTTGAAACTAAAGCAGGGAAAGGCAGGGAAAAGATGTCTGTGACAACTTGATTTCTCCGTTTTGTTTGGCAGTGAGAGCCCAAACACAGTATCTCCCATTACACAAATATACCAAGCTGGTGTCCTCCAGATTTGTTGCATGTAGTACAGCTCCCAGCATCCCCCCAGGCAACTGTTGGTGATGCTAGAAGCACACACACCAGGAGGCGCCATGTTGGAGATCTCACTACGGGCACGATCCTATGCATATTCAGAAAAAAAGTTCTACAACTTCCAGCACTCTCCAGCCAGCACATGATACTGGTTTTATGTACATACACACAATTGTATCAAACACTGGATTGCAATGTCAATAAACCTGTACTCCAGAGTACCTCTAGTTAAGGCATTAATTACACTTTATTGGCAAACACTCATGTAAGAATCCTGGTGCTGTTTGCTTTGTTTAAAGGAAAGGCAGCCTCAAGATAGGGTACCTGAGAGCACAGACTTTTCCACTGGAGCCTTAACCTTTCCACTCAGCCATTTCTTCACTCCAAGTAACAGCTTCCCTCCCTTCCAGTTTCTTCTTCACATAAAGCTCTCCCTTTCCCCACACAATCCAAAACACATGGAAACACACAACTGGAGCATAATACAAAGGAGAGACTTGGGTGGTAATTTGAAATGAGAAATGGCAGGTGGGGAAGGGTAAACACTTCTCATTCACCTGCTACTTTTCCAATCTAAATCATCTTTCAAAATGTCATTCTAGGAATATATATATTTGTTGAGGCTCTATCATATGTGGTTGTGTATGATGCATTGTTTGCCCCTGAAGAACACTTCACACATTATTTTTCCTGTTCAGAAACATGAACAACACATATAAAAAGGGGTTTGAAAACAACAGGAGTACATACTTTGTTACAGAGACATACATTTTGGATGCTCAGTGTGATGCAGCTTCCAAACTTCATTATCACAGAGAAAATAAGATACTCATAAATTTCACATTTCTGCATACACACCTCTACACATAGTTGGTCATAATGAACAAAAAACGTGCATGGGACAACCCTTGGTGTAACAGCAACTTATGAGACACATTTGAATCTGAGATTGTTTAACATTCCTCAAAATCAGCATCCAGATCTGCCCTGCATGTGAAACTGGATGCACTAATCAATCCTCATTTGCAGGGGGAGAGGCAGAAGCAAAGGCAGTAAAAAGAAAAATAGCTGAATCTGCTCCCTTTTTAAAACCATTATCATGATTTTCATTTCTATACCACCCCATAGCTGAATGTACAAATTACCTTTGTGGTGGTGTTTTAGAAGGAAGTGAGGTAAAAGAGGCAAGACTAAGGTTAGGATTAAGGGGAAGTAATTCAGCTTCCTTTCCCAGATATTTGATCTTGAAGTATTTTTAAATATGTTGGGCACAACCCATGAGGAGGTTTTCCTGCACAAGTCCAAACTGAAATGAATGGGAGCTTTAGAGGAACATGCTACCGCTTCCAATCATTCTGGAAGCCTAAGAGCCACATTTGATTTCAGATACATTCTTGGAAGCTGCATTTCATTGGTGGTTGAGACCAAAGGTAAGAACTGCGCAACCAAAAATACAGCAAATAGCACCATATTGTTGCTTAAAGCTCTTGCTGCCAGTAACTCAACCTTAGGAGAGGCATTTTAAAATTTTAGCATGGGGGGAAAATGTGCAGAGAAGATAGGAAACTGACAAACGACTGGTGACTGGAGAAAAGGGGTAAGGGCTAGGGTTCGTGTACCCTATAGAGCTGGATTGGGACCATATGCTAGAGTTTCTCCACTCCTGGTCTATCTGACTGGCAGCAGCTCTCCAGGGATGCAAGCTGCTGTCTTTCCAGGAACTGAAACTGGGACTTTTTGCATGCAAAGCATGTGCTTTACCACTGCATAACATCATTTCTCTTGTTATGCAATCCTATATGCAATCCTTGGCATCAACTGCATTTAGAATATCAAGTAAATGCGGAAAAGGGCAACTGAAATGATCCAGAGGTTGGAGTAACTCCCCTCTGAGAAGCAGCTGCAACAGCTGAGAAGGTTTAGCTAAGAAAAAGGTGAGTAAAGGGAGATATGATGGAGGTGTTCAGAATTATGCATGGTGTGCAGAAAATGGAGACAATTTTTCCTCTCTCCCATAATACTAGAACCTGACGTTATCACATGAAGCTGACTGGTAAGATCCCGAGTAGATAAACAGAAATATTTCTTCACACAGCATACAGTTAAATTATAGCATTCACTAACACAAGAAGTAGCAATGTCACCAATCTCGCCTTCTTCACTCTGAATTCATGTCAGAGAAGGGTATCAATGACTACTCGTCTGGATGAATTTTTGCTAGCTCCAGTACCAGAGGCAGTAGGCCTGTGTAAGCCTTGGCAGTTATAGGCGGCCTAGAAATACATGTATAAATAATTATACAAACCAGTTAGTGGGATATTGGGGCAAGAGGGGGCTGCTGCACTCACGTCCTGCTGGATGGATCCTTTTAAATAGTTGGTGCGCCACAAAATGCTTCACTAGATGGACCACTGACTTATGACCAGCATGACATACAGTAAATTAACTTTCCGTAGCCAAGATAAAATCCCCAAAGTTAGAAGTGCGATGCAAGCTGTTTTAATAAGCCCAAGTTAAAACTTAACTTCTCCATAAATGTTTATTTACAGCCCATTGTGTTCTCTATTGTCTTTCCTGACTGAGAAAGAACTGTGTGGATACCAATTTTGTCCTGCAATGTCATAGTAGCTGGGTTTAGACAATTAAATAACCCACTTTTGAGTTGAATATGGGTTGCTGTTGAATTGCAAGGTTGTTAAAGAAACATGGGCTATTGTACTGCCTGAACCCATCCACACCAACCAACCATCATTTGTTAACTACAAAAACCCATGAAGAGAACCTACGCTTTCTTCTTGGGTTACAAATTGTTGTTTGTTAATAATTAACAAAATCATGGTTTGTTAGAACAACTGAGTTCAGACATGGTTACCCACATTTCAACAACAACACATGGTTCCATACCAAACCACACTCAACCGTTCAGTGTGAGATATTGTATTGTGGATCAAACAATTGGAACAGACGGCTAGAGATAAGCAATGTAGCAGGAAAATGTTCACTATTCTGATCCCAGTTCTGCACCAGTATGCTTAGTTTGGAAAAAAAATTGTTTGCAAAGCCTGGGCTTTTGCAGCTTTGAGGTCATTAGTAAAAGTTGGGACTGTTTGGAAAGTGTTCCACCTGTCAGGAAAAGCAGTTGTGAGTTAACAGTGCAATCACACAAATGCCTCTGGCCCTTCCTGATACTTAAGACATGAAGGAGAGGTGGAAGTTTATTTTAAACTCATACATTTGCTTGAGCTTGGCAAATGCTGCAGGTCTCTGTGACTTTGCAGGAGGAGGGCATACACACCTGTGATAAAAGGGAAGGAAGGAAAACTGGACAAGCTTTTATGGATCAGTGCTTTGCTGGAGGAATTGCAAAAGCAGATCATGGGAGGGCAGCAAGCTGAGGAACCGATCATTGGAATTAGCTCCACTCCCTTTTTAGAGAGGGGGTTTAGGTGCCAAGTTTTTCTTGTTGGAGATGTTATCAGGTAGACCAAAGCATGCCAACACACCCAGCTTGTAAAGTTCATTATTCTCTCCTTCACAGAGGGGCATGTAGGCCTGGGCAACACAAATGGCTCTTTATTCTCTCATTGGAGCCCGTTTGAAGGTTGAAGTCCTATGCGCCCTTGCTTATGAGAAAGCTATTTGTACTTGCTTCTAAGTAAAAACCGTAGGTGTCAAGCATGTGCATCTATGCAGACTGGCTTTATGTGTGAAGTGTAGGGATCCTTACACTTCACTGAGCAGGAAACTCATTCCCTTCGAATTGTCCCAGTGAGCACAGGGTCCACTTCAGAAGAGGTACCATGTGAAAGAACTGTAGACACTCATTCCAGACCAGCAGACATGAACATAACACATAAAGTGCGCACGCGCCACTCACCCACCTTAATCTGTGAATTGCCTGGGAGAAAGCTGGAATGGCCATGAGGAGGAGGACCCTGTCCACAGGCCAAACAGGGTAGCAGGAGCTATTTTCTGCTCAGCTTCTATGAAGGTAAGGTTATATGTCTAGATCAGGTTAATGATCGCCTTTTAACTGCTTGGTAGATCAAAGGAGACTCTTGCCAGGCTAGCTATCAAGTGCCTCAGGGGTGGCCTTGCATTGCTGCAAGACTGCAGATACTTCGGCCAGTGGTTTTTATATCTCGTCT